TGGTGGACCAGTTACGCCGACTGGCACCAGACTTGCTCCAGGAAGCTCTCCATCATGCTCAGTTACTCCAAGGAGGGGCGATGCCGATGGGAGCTGAACCGAAACAGAAGTGGTGGAGCAGGTGGTGGGAGTCACATCTTAAGCACTCAGTCGAACATGGCACGCTCAAGCCAATGTAGAATGGCAGAGTAGTTTCTTGCAGGCAGTCAGAGACATAGCGCGCGATCCTGGGAAATTCCAGATTCTTAGCAGTATGGCGGCCAGTGGCATTGAGCACGCAACGACACTTCTGAAGCAACTGGGGGAGTCTAAGAGCCTCTTGCGCGCCTGGCTAGAATTCGTCCACGTACATATCTAATGCTATTTTTCGTGGCTCTGGCGCGCCACCACAGAGGGAAGTAAGAGCCACGCCCATGAATCAATGTTTGGCAGGGCTTTTTCCGACGACTGGGCGGCGCTCGCGGCCGTGAGTTACATGCGCTCGCTTCAGGCCTAGGCATATTTTGGTTTACAGGCTATTCATTCCATTGCGCAGAGTTGAATTGGATTGAGTTTTTGACCGGTGACCCAGCGTCCATATAGCACGGAGGGGCCCGCAAGCTTGGCGACGACGAGAGACAGACGGAGCCTGCGGTGCTCCAGCTCGGCCCTTACCCACGCGACCACCGTGCGGCCGGCCTCCCGGTCGAAGCCGAGGCTTACGAAATTATCCACGTATTTGAGGTGGCTGGAGTCGCCGAGGCTGGGAGCTGGGCGTCCGTTGTGTAACCATGCTTCCTCCTCCGTCCTCTGCCCCCCCCGGCCTTCATCTTCAAGAATCTCTCGTGTCGGGGGAGCGTAAGACCCGGGTTTGCCAGGACTCGGGTTCGCCATCGTTTTTTGACGACCGCGACTCGGATTTTGACGAGGAGGAGTTTTGTGGGATGTCTGCAGCGGGAGGCCTCGTCAAAATGCAGGCTCGGCCTCGTCATTTTTTTGACGACCTCGTCGGGGATTTCCGAGTCCCCCGTACCCAGGTCTTACGTCTCCCCGATCGTGGTTGTGATGGTGCGGGGAGGCCCCTCTGCTCGGTCGGCAGACAAGGGTGCCTCAGACCGCCTGTGCAGAGCTCCGGCCTGCACCAGCGGCCCCCCAGCAGTTCCTTGATAGGTCCTCAGGGGCGAAGACAGGTCTCAATCCGAATGTTACAGACGGGCGAATCCAGCCAGGAGTTACCCAAGCATCTCGCACGAACAGACGAAGCTAGTGCCCCCAGAGCTCGATTCCGATTCCGATTCCTTCCCTTCCTCCCGCCCCCTTTCCCTCCCTTTTTCTCTTCCACCCGTAGTCCTTACAATTAACTCCTCCCTGTCGCGCACCCAGGCGTGTCGGAAGGGCGGGCTGGGCGCCGGGGCCTCCCTTGCCATTCGTGACACCGAAGCCTGAAAATCAAAATGTTTTTGCAGATAGATGGCAGGACTCTTTCAAAAGAGGATTATCGCCCTAGCGCCGCGCGCACTCGTCGTACACATTTGCAGCAATTTCGTGGGTGTGAGTGGTTTGCGAAATCGAGCTCTCGCCCCAGCGCCGCGCACGCTCGTTTTAAAACCTCAGGGGCGACTGGAGGGTCGTTTTTTTCCCACATGGGTCTTTCGTTTCAGCGCCGCGCACAATTTGTTCAAAACATCGCATCAACTTCCTGGATGGAGTGTGGTTCGTTTTCAAAGTGGGGCTTCCGCCTTGGTGCCGCGCACAGTCGTCGCAAACACTTGCAGCTTCTGCAATAGTTTAATTCAGGTCGTCTTCAAGTTGGGGCTGTGGCCTTACAGCCGCGCGAGCGCGTTTCAACAACTTACCACATCTACCAGCATGGAACCCAGATCGTTTTCAAAATGGGGCTGTCGATGGGTACTCCCGAAAATTGAGGCCGAAACGCTTCAGCATGTAGCATTGCACAGGTCGAGCTGGTTCCTTTTTCAAAATGGGATTTGCGGTTGGGATGTATTCCAAGTTCGTGGCCGCAGTTGTAAGTTTTTGCAGAAGTTGCAGGGGTGGGTTAGTTTTTTTTTTTTTTGTGTGTGTGTGTGGGTGGGGGGGGGGGTTCTTACGAACTGTGGCTATCGTTTTTTTTTTTTTTTTTTTTTGTTTCTCCTCCTTCTTTTATAGATATATATAACTATTATTATTATTGTTTTTTTTTCTTTGTTTGTTTGTTGTTCGTTTACTATCTGTTATGGCGTGTCGTAGTGATGCAACGCGGCTCTTTTTCAACACGGGGTCCTCGCCAAAAAGGCAGGCCCATTTTGCGCTGGTCTGTCAAAAGGGGTCGCTTCTTGTAATTGAAAGGAAAGCGTGTAGGGACGTATGCAGACGGAACGTGGGACGGGAGGGTGTATTTCAGAGGAGGAGGAGGAGGAGGAGGAGGAGGAGGAGGAGCAGGAGGAGGAGGAGGAGGAGGAGGAAGGAGGAGGAGGAGGAGGAGGACGAGGAGGAGGAGGAGGAGGAGGAGGAGGGGCGAGGGGGAGGGGAGGGGGGGAGGAGGAGGGGGAGGAGGGGGCGGAGGAGGAGCATCGCTGGTGCCTCTTGGGTTTTTCTTGTTTGTTCGGGCCTGGCCTTGCAGTCCCCTGGGAGTCCTCCTTTCTCCTGCCCCTACTCCCCCTCGTCCGCCTCCTCCTTTCCTTCTCCTTCACCTCGTCCTCCTCCTCCCCCTCCCCCTCTTCCTCCCCTCCCCCCTCCCCCTTCCCTTCCTCCCTTCTCCTCCCTCCTCCTCCCCTCCCTCTCCTCCCTCCTCCTCCCCTCCTCCTCCTCCCCTCCTTCCCCTCGTCCTCCTCCTCCCTTCCCCTTCTCCTTCTACTCCTCCGGTTATGTGGCTTAGTCCGCAGTGGCTACGCTACCGAAGTGTGAACGGAAGCCTGCTAGCGAGGTCCCACTCCCACTAAGCCTCTTCGTAGTGGCTCCTCCCCAAGGTTTTCCTCACCTGTTGATTTGAAATAGGCGGCTCGAGAGGTTCAGGTGTCATTTGTTGGGACCCCGTGAGACAAAGGCCGCGTAATCTAGGAGGAGCTGTCTTGCTCCAGATGGTTATATGGCCATTATTTAAGAATGACGGGCTCGTGTATATTTTGCCGCGTGTGTGCAGCATGTATTTGCACGAATATGGCCAACCTTCACCAGATCTGTCTGGCAAAGTTACTCCGATATTTTAGAAAGGCGCCCCGGCCGTCTCCTGGCGGGTTGTGACCCACGGACAACGCAGTGATCGGAATGGTGATGATCCCAATGTTGGAAACTCATGACCTTAGGACATCTGTGGAGCTCCCTGAGGTTATTGAACTACCCTGGGCTCCGCATGCCCACTTCTGTCTCTCTGGCAGAGCCATGCTGTTCAAGGTCTCCTAGCCCCTGGCGGTCCTGCAGTTTCACTGGATGGAGGAGGAGGGAGGAGGAGGGAGGAGGGAGGAGGGAGGAGGAGGGAGGAGGAGGGAGGAGGAGGGAGGAGGAGGAGGGAGGAGGAGGAGGAGGAGGAGGAGGAGGAGGGGGGGGGAGGAGGAGAGGAGGAGGAGGAGGAGGAGGAGGAGGAGGAGGGAGGAGGAGGGGCGGCGCCCTGCACGTGCCCTGCCGCTCCCCCCTCCCGCGCGGGGCGGCTGCCGCCACCCCCGTCGTCGCCTTCGGCGGCATCGCTCGCGCTGCCGCGTCCGCTCGTCCGTCGCCGTCGTCGCGTCGTTCGTCGTCCGCGCCGTCGACGTTTGTCGTCGTCGTCGTCGCCGTCGTCGGTGGCCCTTTTGTCCTTTCCTGGACCTCGTGCCCTCCCGCGGGCGCGCGCGGGGGGCCACCTGGGGTCTCAGAGAATCCTTCTGCTCCTCCCTCGTCTCCTCCTCCTCCTCCCTCCTCCTCCTCCCTCCTCCCTCCTCCCTCCTCTCCTCCTCCCTCCTCCTCCCTCCTCTCCCTCCTCTCTCCCTCTCTCGTCTCCCTCTCTCGTCTCCTCCTCCTCCCTCGTCTCCTCCTCCCTCGTCTCCTCCTCCTCCTCCCTCCTCCCTCCTCTCTCCCTCCTCTCTCCTCTCTCTCTCCCCTCCTCCCTCCTCCCTCCCTCTCCCCTCCCGTGCCCTGCGTTGGCGTTGTTTGCCGTGTCATGGTACGTAGAGTTTCCACACTCTCAGGGCACACCGTCAAGTGGCCTTTTGGATGCCTGCAGGGAGAGATGTAACCAGCCGTGTTTTTGTTCGGCACCCGCAGGCTGGCGTCTTTCGCCCTGCTGCTCATGGCGTCAGCTGTGCCTGTAGCACCGAGTGGCTTTGGGACCAGGCTCGGGGATGGCGCATTTGGTTGGGATGCGGGGCCATGTGGTCCGTTAGTTACTCTCATGAGGCTTTGTGTCCACTCACCCTGTTGAACAAACCCAAGGAGGAGAAGGAAGGAGGAGGAGGAGGAGGAGGAGGAGGAGGAGGAGGAGGAGGAGGAGGAGGAGGAGGAGGAGGAGGAGGGAGGAGGGAGGAGGACGAGGACGAGGACGAGGACGAGGAGGGGAGGAGGATGAGGAGGAGGAGGAGGAGGAGGAGGAGGAGGAGGAGGACGAGGCGGAGGCGGAGGCGGAGGAGGAGGAGGAGGAGGATGAGGAGGACGAGGAGGGGAGGAGGAGGAGGAGGAGGTGGAGAAAAAGGAGGAGGAGGATAATTCGGGAGGAGGAGGGGTTGGCGATTCGGCAGGGTTGGCCGTGGACTGGGGCCTGGCACCCCGCGCACCGCGCCGTCTCGCCGGGGCAGCGAGCCATCGGCGACGACGTCACATCACGGCTCCCCGACGAGCTCGTCTGCTTTGGTGTATGCCACTGCGCGCCCCTCACGCGCTCCACGTGCTCCCTAATTACCCCCTCCCGCTTCCTCCCCTCCCCCTCCTCCCTGCTCTCTCCTCCTCCTCTCGCTCCAGCCCCCCCTCCTCCTCCTCTCGCTCCTGCCCCTCCCACCTCTCTCTCTCTCTCCTCACCCAGTGCCCCCTCTCCCGTTCTCTCTCGGCCTGCCCACGAG